TATATATTTGGATTGGCGTTAAAGGGGTTAATGGTCCCATCTCAACCATCAAACCATCTCAAGTTCATCCTATTCAACTCGATGCTTCACGCGTTCACGTGTACACGCGCACGCGGGGACACTCACCTTCCAGCCCGCGGAGCTGTTGCTGTCTCCTTTATCCTTGAAGTAAGGCACGTTCTTGACCATCCAGTCGTAAATCTGAGACAGTGTCAGCCTCTTCTCGGGTGAGCTGTCTATCGCTTTGGTGATCAGGTCCGCGTACGACATGTTCCCCCAGGCGTTGCGACGGGACGAGCTGCTCTTCCTCTGGCCGGAGCTGCCCAGGGGTGCGACACCCGGAGGGGGCACCTGTTGCGGCTGAGGAGGCAGCTGCGGACTGGGGAGCTGCTGCGGAAGAGGATGATGGTGGTGGTGGTGGTGGTGATGTGGAGGCGCACGGTTTCCCTCCCGACACTGAAAGTCATTGCAGGGCACAGGCGGTTTCTGCTCCGCATACTCTTCATAGTCTTCCTCCAACAAGCCGAGGTTGCTGATGAACTCGGCGTTTCCTCCCGGCTCCTGCTGCACCGACGGCGCCGGGGACGACGTGTTGGAGCCGGCCGGGTCGTTGAGCTCCGGCCGGGGCAGCGGCCAGGTGCAGGACCGCGGCCTGGAGAGGGGCTCAAATTCCGGGTCTATTTCGACCGGCTGCGGTGGCGGTACCTCAGCCATGTCTGAGTCTGTCTCACTGTCACACAGACACTCACATAAAAAAATTATAATAAATCAACAGGTAAAAAAGAAAATGTTGCGTTCACACACCAGATTATAGATAGACAATATAAAGAGAGGTTTGTAATTTAGAAGTCAGAGAACTGTTGCGTTCAAGGTCTTCACTGAAGTTCACACCATCCTGCACCGACTAGTAGCAACTCTCAAGTCTGCCGCTCTGTCAATACAGACAACGGTCCACAGGCCGATGCTGCTTTCAAGGACCACTGACAGGCTCGGTCTTCTGAGTGCTACAACTTCACGGTGCATTCACAGTCGAATAATTTATATCGACTCTGTTCAAGTGCTCTTTGGTTGGAAATTCCTAAATGGACCCGGTTTCAAATTAAATGTGCATTTTATGTGCACGGTATTTCTTTAGAGTTTTAAGTTTAGCTTGGATAATTAAGTAGGCAATCATTAATTAGCACGGTAGTCTTCATGGCTTCTCAGACTCATTAGAAGCTGTGGATTCAGGAGAAACAGATTCACGAGTTAAACATGTTCAGCTATGAGTTACTCTGTGAGATGCTGCCATGGTGTCCTGCATTACAGCCATAACAACAGTTAAAGTTTGTATCGGCTCAGCAGTGAGTGAAAATACAGTAGGCCTCCTCATTATTAACACCTGATTTGAACCGTATAATAAAAGTGAGCAATCATTATAGCTGCTTTTCAGTCACTAAATCTCGTTCAACTGTCATTACAAATTATTGGATTATGTACTTACACATTTTGACGGCACCTAAATGCACCATACAGGCAGAGGAACATGCAGAGTCCCTCTATGCTTTGAGAGATATTATGCCCACCTGATCACAGGGAACAGGTTTTTTTTTGTGTGTTTTTTTCAGTAAAATATATTTACAGATAATTTAAGAATAGTGAAATGTTTATATTGTGTAGTTGGTTTCCCCCACAAATGGTCTTGTTTTCTTAAACAGTCCAGCCATCAGTTAGTATGTTTGGTCAGATGCTGATGATCCTGAAACAAAATGTTTTGACACCACATCCAGTTTTATCATAGCAGTTAATACAGTAAATTGTTGAAATATTTAGGGTCTTGTTGTAAAATAGTTAGATATCCTAACAAACGGACCATAGATGTGAGTAGTGCCATCTAGTGGGTTATTTGCATACAAGACATTTCTGAGCAGAACCAGCTGCCTTTCCATACAAAAACACTGTTTTGTACTTTCTACTCATACAAGCAGGGGAGTGTTGCCAAAACCTTATGACAATCATGTGGTTAAGGAAAAGTGAACAAAATGTGGAAATGAGGCACTCTCAACAGCCACGCTCTCATTTTCCACACTTTCTCAGACAATAGCTCGCCGAGTGTTTTTAGACCAGAAGGAATCTGAGTGGTACATTGTTAACACGTTTGTTTTTTTTCCCACTTTAAAAGCACTTCCCTTACAAAGGGCACACGGTTCATGGTCTCATTGCCCTCCTACTGTGAACCTGATCTGAGGTCCTAGATGCTTCGCATAAGTTATGCTTGTTTTAAGACCTGCCTGGAAAAACACTATTAATCAGGCTCAAAGGTGTTTGGATGACCTTTTGCACAAAAATAACACAAAAAATGTTTTCTCACCTTTCTTTGAATGTGAAGGTCTTTAACCAGCTATCCAACTAAACAGTCCACTGTTGTTTTTCAATGTAAAATAAAGGTTGAAGGAATGAAATGAAAAGCAAAAGACCATGCCTGTACTTTTGTTGCTTTATATTGTATGTATACTTTGTACAGGCAACATCTCAACAGTTGTTCTATAGTCCGATCAACATTTTAGAGACAGTACACACTGTTCAATGTTCGACACCAGGACGCAGACTTGATGCCCGTCCACTCTAACAGGCCTCCTGGAAGAGTTAAGAAATACAACCTGTGTGAGTAAAAAACGATCATAGATGCAAAGCCCCGCTGACTAAACAGGACTTAGTTTAATGTGTCCACATTCAACAAATGTTGAAAACGTATGCAATTGTCTTGAGCTCAGTTGAGGTAAACGTCAGCCTCCTTGAGGACTTCCTCCTTCTGGTGGAAGTAGTCTCTGAACCAGGAAACGTGTTCCCTCTTCTGTTGGATTGTCAGGAAGGGGTTTCTGGACAGACCGGCCACCACGAGCTCCATGAAGTGACGCACTGGTCCCTGTCGGGGGAAACCCTCCTCCAAGTGTTTCTCTAAGAAGATGTGCTCGTGGAACGGGACACCGGCTTCCTCCTCGAGGCCTACCATAGAGCGAGAAGACTCTGTCAGAGTGTCATTTTGTTCCTCTCTGTACATTTAGCGAGAATACAGCATTCGTTACTCACCAACTTCATTGTTGACGGGGTATTGCCACAGTTTCCCCTCTTTGGTCCACTGGATCATTTCCTCAAGCCCGTTGCGGGGCTTTTGGTTGGTCGACAGAGACAACTGAATAGCAAAGTCCACGTCCCATAGAGTTGGCCGTGCTGAAAATATGACGACCGCAGCGTTACGGGCAGATGTCCCGATGAAGTTAAAACCAAGAGCTTTTGCAAATGTCACGTTAAGGAGAGACAGCGTCCGCCTACTTGACGACATCTCACGACAATAAGCAGTAATGAAGGCTCAATTCATAGTGCAACAGTTATTTCTAAGGCTTAAAAGTATCAATACAAATAACACCATAAATCACCCACTGTAGGCAAACACAGTCAATAAATAAAAGTAGACTTATTAGAAACATTTAAAATTCCTTATTACCAACTGTTGATTCAACTCCATCTTCATCAGCAGTGGGAGAGAAGACGTTAAGTCTTTTCCCTGTGAACAAGTTCCTCCTAAAAAAAAAAAAAAAAAAAGGCACATTAAACACACGGTCCGTCTGAAAACCTATACGAGTAAAAACATGAAGGAAGTCTTTACCTCCTCCGAACACCGTCCAGCTCAGCAGTGATTCCTCTGTCGTGCGTGTATCCTCGCCCGTCGTCATCAAAACGGATCTGATTAGCTGGCCGAGCGTTCTGCCGGTTGGGATTCTTTCCGACTTTCATGTCAGCGATTATTACTCTGAGGAAAAGATTGTTTTTGATTATTCCATTATACAGAATGAAAAAGCAGATCAAATATCACAGTCTCATTTAAATACTCAGCCTATTAACATTCGTATACTGGAGACCTATACTAGACACACACCCGAGGTTGTTCACGTCCCCTTTCTTCTGGGCCTCAGTGATGGTCTCGTGCTGCCTCAGCTGCTTCAGCAGCTCAGACTCAGCCTGGCTGCGGTCAGGCAGAGTGGAGGCAGCGGCAGACGCGGCTGCAACCAGTTCAGGATCCAGTGTCTCTCTAAAAAACAACAACAACACAGTGGACGAAGAGAGACCGGGGCTTCAGATATCCTCCCGAGATTAAGGTGTAAACTCAAAGAAACCTGCACTTTAACAAGGCAATGATGAATAACCTGAAACCTCCTCTCACCTCTGTGATGAAGCCTCCACTGTAGCCTTCTGAAACATACTGATAGTGCTCTCCATAGCTGCTGGCTTTGACTTGGGTGTAGACTCATAACTCGGCTTCACTGTCATGTTTTTGAGCTTCCTCTTACTAGTTACTTCCACCTTCATGGCTCCAAGAAGGTCGAGGAGACTCTCTTTCCCGCTCTTCGCTGCATCAGTCTTCACTTGTTTTGACTTGGCCACGACCTGCTCAATTTCAACATCCACCTGCCGCTGCGTGGTACCTCCCTCGTCGGTCTTTAACACTGCCGGCTCCTCCTTATGTTCAGCCATCTTGGTAATGTTGCAGTCATCTTCGGCTTTCTGTGTAACCACAGTTGGAGTTTCTGTTGGCTCAGTGTCTTTATCTATATTTGTTTTCTCAACTTGATTAGAATCGGCACCATTGTTTTTCTTTTCACAGAGTCTTACTGAACTTGTGCTGAGGGCTTTGACTCCACCTCCATGTGCAACCCTATGTTTAGAGAAGAAAACAGAGTTAATAGTTATAGGGGTCTGACTTGGGAAGGGATGCTAGAGGCTTGAATAATAAAACAACACTATTATTACAAATGAAATACAAAAAAATACAATAATTAGTTTAGGGATGGGACATGCCATCTTAAAATAACATGATAGAGCAGGGATTTCTTTACAATATGATATTGATGATAATAAAACACTTTATTACTAATTGCAGCAACAGATATTACATTGTTTGGCTCTTTCATAGACACTCTACATAATAGCAATAGCCTGTGAGCCAGTACATGGTGGGAGGTAGAGACCATGATAGCTTTTTTAATTAACAGTAACTGTCTGTCAGCGAGACGTTAAGTTCTCCTGTCACAAGATGGCTGCTGGTACCATCTTCTCTAGATTCACATCATTTTGCAGATGGAAACTAGCTGCTAGTGATGAACCTGAGCCTCTCAAAGAAGTGTCAATCAAAATGTCCCGCCCCTTTAGTGCAGGTTAAGTAACTTAATAGCTAACATTAGCTGTCCAAAGGACACATTTTCAAGGTATATAGAATGTAAATTGTTGTCACTATACAAAGTTTTTAATTTACCAAAAATACACCCAAATAACAGCCCAGTACGTAGCTGACGTTGACGCGTCACTGTGTGCTTCATATTCACTCACAGCCAAACTCACCTTAAGACTGGAGCTGCAGACTTGTCACATTTAGCTGTAAACACACACGACTCAAATACACTGGCTGAAGAATGTCTAGCCGTGCACACTGTCCGGAATATAAATCTATACATGATTGCGTCTTGTAATGTCCTTCCACGCTCCTGACATTTGTCTCCGTTGCTACATCATAAGGTCACCGACGTAAACTGGAGGATGACATTAGTTCCGGGCACCGTAGTTCATGGTGTAAAGGGTACTTTCCATAGAGGAACTGACATTTAGTTAAGTTATATTGTCAATTTATATAATCGTGGTATTGGTTATTTTGCCGTTCAAAACACACTTCCCGTAACTGACTTTGGATAATTTACTTTTCGATAAACGGTTGCTCCAACGGTCCAGCGTTGTGAATCATAGTCTCGCGATATCACAACCGAACGTGACTCAAAATGGCGACGGAACATAAGCGCTAATTCACGAAAGGAGGTCCCAGCCGCAATCCGTGAATTAGTTAGTTATTTATATCGAAAGATGGATATTCATAGAGAAGAATTAGCTTTGCGAAATAATTATTGTTGCAAATCCCAACATTGACGGTTTTTATTCGCGTAAGTTCCTGCTTAAATTCAGAAAGGAGAGGACAACTTCACACAGGTAACATGTCATCGGAAGCTAAGTTACTAGCATGCGAGCTAAAACACATCATATCTAGCTCGCTGTAAGTTAATATTAAAGAACTATGCAGTCGTTAAGTGGCTTACAATCATCACTGTTAAGATGTTGTGCATGAAGTCGTTGCACTTGCATGGATACATCGTTACTTTAGAAGTGGCTTCAGCATTGTATGCTGCTAGTTGATTGTTTTTCCGTTAGAGTGGATAACCCGCTCTCTGTGGAGCTCACTGTTTATTTACACACATGAAGTATAAAACCCTTTTTAAAGTGTTTATTCTATGGACTTTTTCATGTCTGCATTGTAAACAAGATTCAACTTAGAATCAAAGTGGAGGTAATCAGGATTATAAGTAAGATATTTATAATATCGTATCGTAACGTAATAACCATCAAGTCGATAACGTTATTTCCTTCAGGCATCTATGCTGACATTACTGTTTTGACTTCATGTATAGCTTTGGCTTTATGTTTGCGGTTGTTTTCTGGTTTAACCATGTTAAAGAGTTGTTTGGGTGTAGTTAATAGTGTAGTTGTGGTCTCATGCACCATATAGCCTTCCTGCACTCTTTGTATTGAGTTTCTCGTGGGCTCTCTCACTAGCTGAGATGTCATAAGTCCTTCGTTTTCAACATCGACTTCCTTTTTTGTCATCATCCCACGAAGCTGCATTGAAACACCCAGGTGTGTGCACATTGTCTCACATGTCAGCCATGGATACCTGTAACGTCTTGAGTGATGTGATTGGCCTCTTGACACTATCTTTTTGATGATTGCAGATACATAGTGAAGTCATTTTGTTGAAAATATCTAAATGATGAGCTGCAATAAGACGCATGTTCTACTATTTACATTTGGGGAATCGGAGTAATGACGGAATAGAAGTAAACAATAGGCTGTGTGTACAATGTTTGCTGAACCATCACATAACTATATCAAGACTGCTTGTCAAATAACATGTCAAGATGCTGCGTTTGTCTCCTGAATAAGACGAGTACATCTGTTTGAATATTTTTTGTGTGCACATTTGAGGGGTGTTATTCACAGACCTGTGTCCTTTGTTAGCCATGGCGGAGGAACGTCGGCAGAAGCAGTGTTCGGTCTCCCTACCCACAGAGTCCATGAAGGCCATGGCAGAGTCTATGGGAGTGGGGCAGTTACAGGAGGAAAGCTGCGCTGCCCTCAGTGAAGAAGTCAGCTACAGAATAAAAGAAATTGCACAGGTAAATGATGGATGATAGATGTAGATATTGTCTTTGTGGGTCTGTAAATTGCTCTCAAACTACATGCTTGATTGTCTTTGGCATAACTGACACATGATCTTTATATTTTGTATTCTTTCCTTTCTCCTGTTTACTTAGGATGCTCTCAAATTCATGCATCATGGGAAGAGACGTAAATTAACCACCAGCGACATAGATAACGCTCTCAAACTAAAAAACGTGGAGGTAAGAACTTGCATACTTGCTTGAAGTGGGTCTTGTACTCTGATTTCTTTTCAACTTCTGTGTTCTGAATGCATTTCCTCTTGTTACAGCCCCTGTATGGGTTCCAGTCGCAAGAGTTTATCCCTTTTCGCTTTGCAAGTGGTGGTGGAAGAGAGCTTCATTTCTATGAGGAAAAAGAAGTCGACCTCAGTGACATTATTAACACGCCGCTCCCCAGAGTTCCACTAGATGTGTCTCTCAAAGGTACGCAGATGATCAGTATTACATGCCGTTATACTCCAGGATATTGTGTTGTCTTGTTTTGACTCTAAGCTCATACACCATGCTTGTTTTAATCCACAGCCCACTGGTTAAGCATTGAGGGGGTGCAGCCTTCTATTCCAGAAAATCCACCACCAGGTCAGCCCTGTTTTAGATTTGTTTTCTATCTTGAAAGACCAAAAAAATACATATACATTTATCTGCAGGAAAAACTTAATATTTGGTTTTATTTACTGTTTTTCAGCACCAAAAGAGCAACAAAAGGTTGAATCTACAGAGCCGCTCAAAGTCGCCAAACCTGGTCAAGAGGAGGACGGCACGATGCAAGGCAAGAGTCAGGGGGCAACACCTGCTGATGGCAAAGGTCAGTATCTCGTGTTATATTAGAATGAAACTTTTCTCTATTTTCTTCTCCTGTCCCCCTGCCTTCCTCCCTCCCTAATCCATTATGATTTTGCCTCCATCATGCCATGTTTACATCCGTCTCTTTCAGGAAAGGACAAGGGTCTAATAAGGTTGAAGCCGCGCAGCACTCACGAGCTGTCTGTGGAACAGCAGCTCTACTATAAGGAAATCACAGAGGCGTGTGTGGGCTCCTGTGAGGCTAAAAGAGCGGTAAGTCTGGCTTGTCTGTCTGTTTATATGGTTTCTTTTTTCTACATGCTGAGTAACAACCTGATAACCTTTTCTTGAATCATTTTTGACTAGAAGTTATATTGTGTGTTTCATTAATTGGCTTTACATTGAAGAAATAGTGGTCAAATAGTAGTTTTAACCTTTTTCTGATAAATGTTTGCTCTTGTCTCATTCAGGAGGCTTTACAGAGTATTGCCACAGATCCTGGACTGTATCAGATGCTTCCAAGATTCAGCACATTCATTTCTGAAGGAGTGAGCATCTTTTCCCTCTTCTCCTAATGTTCTGAAACATTACTCACCTTGTATATAATAACCAAGCATACCTGTGCTGGAAGTACTGACTTGATGTTCTCCTCAAAGGTTCGTGTGAATGTGGTGCAGAACAACTTGGCCCTGCTGATTTATTTAATGCGGATGGTCAAGGCTCTAATGGACAACCCCACGCTGTATTTGGAGAAATACGTGAGTACAGAAAACAAACACATTTGTTGAAGAGTATAATCTCAACGTTTACTTTTATCCTCATGCTTATATTTCTCTATCTGTATTTGCAGCTGCATGAGCTCATCCCAGCTGTGGTGACGTGTATCGTGAGTAAGCAGCTGTGTTTGCGACCAGATGTGGACAACCACTGGGCTTTACGAGACTTCGCTGCTCGCCTCATGGCCCAAAGTTGTAAAACTTTCAGTACTACGACCAACAACATCCAGTCCCGCATTACCAAGACCTTTACTAAGGTGATCACTTTGTTAGATAGATAACTGTTACCCTCATTAACATTATATCACTTTTTAAAACATTTCACATACTAAACCAGACTGACTTGTTTCCTCAGAGTTGGTTGGATGAGAAAACGCAGTGGACGACACGTTACGGCTGCATCGCTGGACTTTCTGAACTAGGACCTGATGTGAGTGGGATTCGGTTTCCTTTATGTAGGTCTTTATCATTTTGACTCTTTTCAATCGGCACCAACCTCTTAATTTTATTTCCTTCCCCTGCAGGTGATTAAGACGTTGATCCTTCCTCGGCTTACTATAGAGGGTGCTCGCATCAAAGCAGTGATGGAAGGACCAGTGGTCTCCAACATTGATAAGATAGGAGCGGACCATGTTCAAAGCCTCTTACTGGTAACACGTTTGTGATTATTATGCACTGAAAAGTAGACGACTTCCCACAGATTATAACACATTTGTATACTATAACAGTCAAAGCGTTTCACTAAAACATGAGGTTCATCAGTAATTGTTTCTTACTTTGTATTAGACGAGCACTTAAGTGTAATGTTAACAAAATGTGTTTTGTTTTTAAAGAAACACTGTGCAAGTGTTATTGCCAAGATCCGACCTCAGCCCGACAACGCGGAACAGTATCGGACAGACTATGGGTACCTTGGACCGATGCTCTGCTCCCATGTGATGAAGGCCAGGACTCAAGCAGCACTGCAAGCTCAGCAAGTCAACAGAACCACATTAACAATCACGCAGGTACATTTAACACCGATACAAATGTGTTCTGTTTAGTGAAGTCAATTGCTGCTGTTGATTCGTGAACGATGAATCCTGTTCTTGCAGCCTCGTCCCACCCTTACCGTGTCGCAAAGTGGGTTAAGTGGGTCGGCAGGACCGCGCACTCCCAGCATCATCAAGGTCCCGAGCTCCCTCACCCTGATGTCTCCTCGACCGGGGACCCCATCGCAGCCTTCTCCCCCGGCAACGAAATACATCGTAATGGCAACCAGTGCCGGAGCCTCCTCAACTCAGCAGGTACTTTGATTTATTTAAATTCAGTTTAACGCTCATCGCAACGTTGCTCTACAGCGCTACAGGAAATCTCCGCAGGGTAACTTCTCCTGCCTGTATTGATAAGATAGCAGCTGCAATTTCAATTCAGCCATTTTATTAATTAGTTATGCCATTGGTGTGAAATTTAACAGGTCTTAAATGAAAGAGGATTTACTGAAACCTTTCTCTTTAAAATCATAAGAGTAATTCATACATCTGTCTTTTTGTCGTCCCTCTAGGTTATCACCCTCAGCTCTTCCCAGTCAGCCTCACCAGTCACTAGCACAGTTCCCAGTGCCATGTCGACCTTTCAGTCTGGCAGCGGCCCTGGTCTGACAGGTTCACGACCGATGCAGAAGTACATAGTTGTATCTCTGCCCTCGTCTGCCTCGTCCTCTTTGGAGGCTAAGAGCTCCGTGCTACCAACCTCAATTTCCTCAAACCCACTCGAAGCAGCGTTGAAGCTAGACCGGTCCGAGTCTCCCGGAGCAAGCACACAGTCGCCACACTGAGACTTGTGTAGATAGTGGGGATTTTTACCATGTTGATACAGCTGAACACTCGGAGTGGTTCGTTGAGGCTGAACATAAAGGGTTAAACTCTGGCATGGTATGAAGGGGAATATCTGAACTCTTGACTGATGAAGAGCAAATGTGACTAGACATTGTAAATATGTTAATGCCCAATGAAAACTCAGGTCCAGCTGTGAGATCTGTAATGTTTCAGCTTATATTCTAATTGATTCCATGTTGTTTTTTTTACTCTAAAATAAATCAGATTTTGTATGAAATCCTTGTCTGGATGTTTTTTTTATTTTTTTTTTATATTTCCATTATGATTTTTAAGAAAAATGTTGTGTACAGTTTGTCATTAAAAAATGACCTTGTTTATCAAAACCAAATATTTGAACAACTGTTTAAACAAACTGCTATTATTCTCTGCAACTGGCTTGGTGTCATCACGGATCACAAGCCCGTTTAAACCACGTGAGTGTTGTAAAGAAGAACTATTATGGACTTCCTGTCTGTGGTACGGTTTCAAAATTGCACGTTTACATTTTTTTTAATATGTAAAGGACCTGTGAATGAAAATATACCACTAACTATGGCTATTAAATCTATGTAGCGGAGTAAAATAAAGTAGCATAAAATGGAAAAAAATTCAAATAAGTACATGAGTAAATGTAATTGGTTACATTTCACACCTGCTTCCGGTCTGTTGGTAGACCAGAGTTCCAGAAGTAAATAAATAAAAATAAAATCTAAGTTTAAGACCACAGTAATGAACTTCGACTCCCACTGAACATTACGGTTAAGATCAAACGCTCATTTAGATTTATTCATTGTTGAGTAGGTTTCCCTGCTCGGCTAAAACTTGCTCGTTTTTGAGCGATATCTTTTATTTTGAAGGCGAAAATTGCAACACCGGAATCATTTCCTGTGAACTCACTGTCGTCAACAGCGTGGCTCAGACTTGAGGTTGTTTAACTTCTCTCGGAGGAAGAAGAGTCAGGTGTGGACTGAGGTAGAGTCAACACATGCATTTCAAAGTCCGAGCTGCAACAAAAGATGACTGCAAAGAAATATCGAGAATGATATTGGTGAGGCTCCGTCATGTAATACCACTAAACCTAAAACACGTGTTCTGCTTCACAATGCCGCATGTGATACACATTACTTTAACGTTATGTTGTGAGTATATCTGCATGCACTTTGGTGTATTTGTCAACGTAATACATCCACACATAACGTTTTAAAATCCCCTCTTTTCCTCAGGAGTTGGCGGTTTATGAAAAAATGCCCGACCAAGTGAAGATAACTCATGAAGGTAAATCTGTACTTAATATGATAGAAACATGAATGCTGAGAAAAGCCCAGTTGAAACTGTTTGTGTCCTTGGAAGCCACACCAAAGGGTCGATATGCAAAGGTGATGATTGGAACAATTACACCTGTGTTTGTACTGCTGTGGCACATCAATGTCAGCTGTGAGAAAGGTCTATATAACGCATAGTTAGAGTGAGCAGTGAAACACTTTGCAACCAGACTTGGTTAGTAAATAGAGTTCCCTAATAAGTAACTGTGATGACATTTTAATTTAAGCAGGAGCGAGGGGGAATTCAGCAGTGCTGAATTTTGAAGTCAGATCAAATCTCTTGGAGAACTTTTTTTTTTTTTTTTAAATGTGGTTGTATGTGTGAGCAGGATCCATTGCATCAGTCTCCCTTACAATCCTATCATTGCCAGTTGCTGGAGTACTGAGTGTAGCAGCCAGATACTACAAAGTAAGGCTATGATGTGTTCAATACGGACACAGTACTTTTAAAGGTACCTGGTTGAGTTTTTTTAAAACTCCAGAGCAACGATTTGAAGAGCGAGTATGCCACACACCACGAGCACATGCAGGATGCGAAAGACATTTTGAAGACAATGCGTACCAACAAGTGTTGGTGTTTAATGGGCTATATGCCATGTGGAAAGAAATGCGCCAATAAAAGAGGAGTAGAAGAAGACTGCACGCAGGTTTGAAACAGTTTTATTAATTGGTAAATTATTTAGAAAATGTTTATGAGTAAAGAACTTGGTCTGGATAAAACCTGCAAAAATGTGAGCTGTAGGATGTGATATTTTTATGACTGGCTTCTTGCCTTATGAAGAGTTTTGTAGTGATGTTACCATGTGCTTGGATCTTAGCTGTTAATATCAAATAAGAGCAGAGTTGAAAAAACTAATTAAATACATTTTCAATGTTTGTTGCACTTGGGTGCTGATGAATAATAATATTACCTCTAATGTGAAGATGACATGTTGCCTTGTTGGGTAAATGATCTGTCCTGCTTTGCTTTAGCACTGGAGCGGGACGGTTTCTGCCACAATCCCTTCTTTGAATGCCTCGTTGCAGAAGTGCCCGAGGAGCATAAATCTGAAGAAGGTAAAGATCGAGGCCTTTTCTACTGTATTCCTCTCTGTCAGACAGATTTAAACTTGTCGGCGTCTTACGCAGATAACAGGTCTGTGACTTTGCTGTTTAGATATATTTCCATTTAGTATCTAACGAATCACGATGACTACACAGGTGCCACCTCAAAAACCAACAGTGTCGGTGTCAATTAAATATTCCATTATATTTGTAGGGATGAAAGAAAGTTTCTGGTATTCTTCCTGCTTGTCTTTTTGATTGCTTGTATTTTTCGTCTATGTAGGATTCACAATTGTCGGATATGGCCTTTACTTTTACACTTACAGCACATGGAAGGGGCGGTCGGTGCATCTGGAGGACCTGTACGTGATGCCAGAGTTCAGGGGTAAGATATGTATTGAATTGTTGTCAACGAAGCACTCGCTTGGTTGTGCAAATCATCATTTTTTAACGTTTCCGTTGCATCTTTTTCTGCAAATGTTTTGTCCCCAAGTAAAAACATTTCTTTTATTGATTTCCTTTACAGGAAAGGGCATTGGCAAGGGTTTACTCGGCAAAGTTGCCGAGGTAAGAATGTCTTTGCTGACCACTAAATCGTAGTTTTTCTGAGGAGAAATCTGTCCTGTGTGACGAAGAGGTAACGGTGCATGACTGTTTTGTTTCCTCAGGTGGGGAAGAAGATGCAGTGTGTGCGGCTGCAGTTGTCTGTGTTGGACTGGAATACTCCCTCTCGAGACTTCTACGCCGCTAAAGGAGCTCAGGACCTCACCGCCAGTGAAGGCTGGCACTTTCTACGTTTTGACGGACAAGACCTGGACAATTTAGCAAACGACGCTCCTAAAGATTAGAAGTTTGCCAAGTAAAGATGTGTATCTTGCTGTGAAACAAATGTGGCTGTTAAACATTCACCCTGAAGACGGTGCCAAAATATGCTTCACTGTAACCCAATTCCTCACTAACTCGTCTTTCTACTAGTTAAACATTCATTTTGCTGGCATGGATGCATCTGGTTCAGCTTTGTCATCTTTCAGTGCAGCGTGCAAATTCAATTTGCGGACATCCTTTCATCTTGTATATCCACATTTGTGAGTGTATAAAGAAACAAAATATTGCCTTTATTGGGAAATTAAACACAGTCCAGCCCTTGATGATTTTAATCTTTCTAGGATCTGATGATGCTTTGGTGAAGATTTTGGCAAATTTCCCAGCACGACGATGTGAATTGACCTGATTAAATCCAATCCCGGACGTGATGCCATATCATTCCAGTAGGTGGCATATTTATCCAACTGAAAATAAACTCTCTGAGTGGACACTCGTGCAGTGCCGAGGTTAAATGCACGATACATTAAGCTCCATGTCTCAGCTGTGAGTATTTTCTGCTCTGGTTAAAGGAGTCAGCGGAGAAGATTACTTGGAAACTAGTTCTGTAACCTAAAACCCTTTTCATGGAATTATGTTCGTTATGTTGATAATCAAAATCTCATTAACACTTTCATTTTTTTTTGCAGTCAGTCACTGGAAATGATATTTATTTATTGTATAAAACACACTGAAATCCAAAGGAGCACATGTGGAATCAGCCTAAAGAGAAACTGTGACGTTACATTTGAAATATGCTAAAAAAAGATTATAATGCACAAAACTTACAAAGGCTATATGTTTATATGCGTTTCAACCCTGTTACTCGAGTGTTCTGGTTCAAAGACGAGCGTCTAAATAAAATCGCACTGTGTGAAAGCCCTGGTGTAGCTATTACTGGTTACAGTTGAAAGTTAAAGTAACACGTTTCCTCCATGACTTTTGCACCGTCAAGTTACATAATCACCTTTACTCTCACTGATAGACATTCTGCTCAGAGCTCTACTTTAAGACCAGCCAGATTATTGATCAAGTAGATTTAAGAAATTTCTGGAATTGCCATCTAATTTCCGAATGGGAAGAGCTTTTAATATTTTTGCAGAAAAATTATTCTGAATTTGTTGCACAGCCACAAGAAATGTTGGGTTTTGTGGAAGGGGAGCGGCTCTCATCTTTCTTGACCATTAAACCTGATGGCAGGTTTGAGGATGCACAGAAATTACAAAGGATTACAACACTTTATATAATTACACAAACTTCATAGACTTGAACACGATTGTAAAACAGTTTAAGGTGATCTAAGGATTAAATATTTGTGATTGTCCTATTCCTAGTAAGAGAGATAGGGAAGGTGTTTTTTTTAATATTCTTAAAACCTTTAAAACAATGTCAAAGTAGCACACTTCATGGCATATCTAACAGCTTTCTTGCATCTTTCTCTCATGATCAAGTTATTCTGCAGCAGTCATTAAAATACAGAAAAGGAAACATAATTTGGTGTAAATGTGTGCTTATATAAGGCTGTTATAAATATATTGGTATCACCACATTCTGGACATGTAGTCTAACATATATGTTCTTCATATTCTTCATATAGACTAATTCTAATCTATAGCAGTGATCAACACTAACAAATGTTTGTTTTCATTATGCTGCAGTTTCTCTTGGTAAGGCGACAGCAAGCTAGTAAGTTAAATTGTATATATATGTATATATATGTATATGTATATATATGTATATGTATATATATATGTATATATATATGTATATGTATATATATATGTATATGTATATATATGTATATGTATATATATGTATATGTGTATATGTATATGTATATATATATGTATATGTATATGTATATGTATATATATATGTATATGTATATATATATGTATATGTATATATATGTATATGTATATATATGTATATGTATATATATGTATATGTATATATGTATATGTATATATATGTGTATATATATGTATGTATATGTATGTATATATGTATGTGTATATGTATGTATATGTATGTATATGTATGTATATATGTATGTATATGTATGTATATGTATGTATATATGTATGTATATGTATGTATATGTATGTATGTGTATGTATGTGTATATATGTGTATATATGTATATATGTGTATATATGTGTATATATGTGTATATATGTGTATATGTATGTATATGTGTATATATGTATGTATATGTGTATATATGTATGTATATGTGTATATATGTATATATATGTGTATATATATGTGTATATATGTATATACAGCATACATTTACCATTAAAAGGTTTGGATAAAGCCAATAAATCAAATCAAGGTTGCTGCTCTATATACAGCGATCATGAGGCTTTACAATGGTGTTTTCCATTGTAAATCCTGCCTTCTCCTACTGCATTCAATCTAGTGAATTGACTCCCAAGCTGGCTTCCACTTCTCCACAATCACCTCTCAGACGTATGCGTTTCTACCATAGTTGCTCGGGACCGACTGAGACATCGCCACAGTGGACAGCACATGTCCTCTGGAGGATGGTTGGTATGGGTATGGCCTGGAACACAAAAGTGGCGTTTCAGTTGAGAGATTATGCACCAATTCTACTACACCCAATGATCAAACGTCTCAGCAACACGTACTCACATTTTTTCCGTGGGTGTGTTGACTTTGCAAGCACACATCAGGCATGCACCTCCACAAATGGCAAGTGTGGCCGACGACCAGCCGATATACAAGCCCTCTCCAATCTCATACCTGTGATTCAATAACATTGAACATATATTTATATATACAGTATATATATGTGTATTATTATTACAACGGCACTTTGTGCCATTCAGCTATCGTTTCTTTTCAACTCGGTGACATACTGATGCGGAGAGTATTGACTTACTTTGTCCCCGGATAAAACTGGTCAAAGAACTGCCGTGTGATGTTGGCTGCATACCAAGATATAGCAATCATGGTGGAAATCCCTACAAAACACAAAGCATTGTTTACTTTAGACAAAGTGGGATGTTTTTTCAATGCAAGCAACGCAGACAGTAACAGGCTGAGATAACATGAACACGGTCAAAATGGGGTTTTATAGATAATACCACGATGTTAGCCATGCTAGTCCTAACGGGGCTAAAACCATTTCATACAACATCATGAGATTATCCATGAAGCCAGTCATATGGAGCAAAGTTACCTGCTTGGTTGCAAGGAAGGACTACTCCTTTATATCCACTCTACAACATATAGCTTATAAGTATGATTACTATGTAAACATAATAAAACAATATAGTTCTAACGTTTAAAAGCCTTTCAAATCAAACCGTAATAATAGCAAGTGTCCCGTCACCGCTCCTATTCTCACAATACAAATACCGTTGGTAATAGCAGGCTTTTGTGCATCAGCAGGTTTGTGAGACTAAGGATAACCTTTTGAACTGGTGACTCATTTTTTTTAAAGCTTGGAGTGCCAGACATGATTTATCTTTCTAGCTGTTTTGTGTTGTGTGATTGTGAGCGTCCTCCTGAGGACTGGACATGGTCCTCACTTATCGTAAAGTACTATCAATGCAGGGACCACAACACGTTTGAAGTAAACTTCCGATCAAACATTTTCTCATGCGTTGTTTTGTGACATGTCATCCATCCCCAGGTCTTTACCCTGTAGTAAAAAGAACACTCCTCCCATCGCAGCGATCCTTCCCTTCAGGACGTAGTTTTCTCCTCCTATCTTTGAACACTTCATTCCAGCGAGAGTAGCCACGAGCCCGAAAGTCCCAAACACAATGGCAGCGATCATGAGTGCCCGGGAGGCCTGAATGTACCCTGTGTGCAAACGTGAAAAAAATACGATGATATATGCACTTGTAATTATGGATGGGACAATACAGGATCTCACTGCGGATTGCTATAAAAAACACTGACAATAAGTTGAACGTGGGGAATTGACATTATCAGGATAATCGTGAATATTGTGATATGAGACACTTGGAAAAGCTGTCTAGCTCTTTATTATGGTAGTTAATCAAGAAATATAGCTTCATTTAAAAAAATAAAATAATAACAATTTATGATTATCTTATTTAAGATTGTTTGTTTTTCAGTAAAAACAATGTTCACTAAAAATAGTCATATTCTATGATAATTGGGATAATATTGTTAATCATAATTATTTTGGCCCGGATAATTGTGACATTCAATTTTCATATGGCCCCATGCCTACTTGTAAGAACATGCTACACATAAATCTACACATATGTACAACATAAACATTGAAACAAATTCAAAGCAAGTATCACATTGTCTTATTATGTTCATAATGCATGCATTATGAAATGCATGTTTTAGCCACAGAGACGACATTCACTGTTACAGCAGGACATAGTTGATGCAGGTGGGAGCCCCCTAGAGGCTCACTGATAGTAACCCTGGTCCTATGAGCACAGGCAGAGCCACACAGGTTTGATTCCTTACTAATACGCCAAACTTTAAATTCTCCTCTTGACAAAACAGAAATATGTCGGTGTGTGTGAACTGGAAAGCATGTTTATGCTGTGGTGAGATGAGGGCACGTTATACCTCAGGGCTCAAGACTAGGGCTCGGCATCCAGTGTCATGTGTTTCATGTGTTATATGTGCTATATGTGCTATACAGCGCTTAAATCGATGCCTTAACAGTAGTTCTGACCCAAGCGTGCACATTATAACAGTCTACAACAAATAGGAATGACTACTCCTAGAAATGTGTTTTTATTATTTTATGGGTATTGAGTTTGTCTGGGTTCACTGGTGTAGTGCTTATCATATCTTGTATTCCCTGCCTTTAATACAGATTATAGCCAGTACAGTAGATTGCTCCTGATATGCTTTTAAAGGTACACTAATATACTGTCTAAGTCAAGGTAAACAATGCAAATAAGAACAGCCATTTCTCCACTTTTGGGTTTGATCCACTGGTGTGAGATTCAGCTGAATTCAGTGAGGATCTGTTGGAGTCAAACTGTTTTATTGTACATAACATTCTCACCCTTTTAGACATTGGAGATGAATTACGATGTATTTTTTTATGCTGTACTGCTCGAGGAGTAAAGTTTTAAAAACTATTTCTGTGTTGGCCACATACCATTAAGTGCGAGCAAAGATGGAAAATCCCGGCAGTTGTGAACTCCTGTAGAGTCAGTTGCACAGGACATCCACAGGTTTTCATAGATGGTTGATGTGGTGATAACGTTACCGTCCACTGACGAGACCTTCCAGTATCGATTTGGAAGGGCGATCCCAACCATTAGCCAGGCCAGAAACCCCAGAAAGAAGGCCAACGCTTCCACTATCGCATTCATACTCCCTTGTTTCTTCTGTCCAATCGTGCAAGTTATCCAGAGAGAGAAACACTTAATTCAAACGTTGACTCCAAGCTATCTTCCTGCGCAAACGTGTGGATTTGTTGGCCCCAAATTCTCAGTTTGACAGACTAATTCCCACCCGAGCGAAGACGTTACAGAAAACCACAAATTAATGATTAATTCCAAATAACCCTCTTATGATGACACCTTTTATTCTCCACTCTTTTGAACCTTTTCAAAGACTCCAAATGTTTGCCCAACTTAAGGGACAACAGGGAGGTGAAGTCCAAGCTTCAAGCCTGCTTATTAATGACTAAAGGCTTAAAGCTATTTGTCACCTTTTGACGTTTGCTTTGAAACACTGTGTCAATAATATCAAACCGTTATTGATGGGATTCGAGTCACGTTTTGGCTCCTCACTTCCCCCTGTGTTTGGGCGATGATGGGTATGTTAGTGGCATTTAGGGGTGAGGTAGCATCACAACATACCGATCCGCAGAATGACCAGGTTTGTTGCCCAGCAGATACACATGTTTGCTTGTCTGACAACTGAGCCCAAAAGTCCTGTTTTCACTTGTGTTACACATGTAGTGTCGTTCGTTATCTGGCCATTATCATCCTGGTGACGAAGTACCACTGCAGCAGCCTTTTGGCCACACATGAAAAAAACATTTTACTTGACTCGATAACAAATCTTTACAACCTAAACACAAGAACTGCTTTACGTCAAAGTTGACTTTCTGGACATTTCTAAAGAAATAGTTTCAGTGGTTTTGTAATGAATGTCATTATATCATTAGGAGTTCACTGTCTCAGCAAGAACAAAGTACCATTTCACACCAACTAAGAACAGCTTGGCTTTACTGCTTATTGAATACAGTCTGCAGCTCCCTCTCGTAAAATGTCAGTGCTCACTGGATGTCCAACATATGCATTGCATTAAACACAATGAAGGACACTGTAAAAAGAATGACCTGTACAATGTAAGGACACTCTTATAGCACAGTACTGCTTGTAAGGTTGATGAGGTTATTTAGTTTTATTGAGACTGTGTTCACCTAAAATATAATGTAATCCAGTATAATCTATGTTGTTAGAAATGTTCATAAACTGGATGTAAATTCCTCTTTTACAATCTCAACAAAAATGAACTTTACAAGCGTCACAAACTTTACAGAGATATTGTGTTGGATTGTACAGCTGCTGATTACAGCATACATGTGTTTGCTATTTTTTGTTTTGTTAAGTTTGGTTTGATTTTGTATGTGTAGTTCATATTAAGTTTCTAAGAAGAAAAAAGACAAGTCTCAATCAGATAACAATTTCACTGACGGAGATTATAAAATGTATAGTCAGCTGTTACATAAAGCTGGATCATCAGAGAAAATCTGAAAGCATAAATAGTAATGTAAAAATATTAATAGAAGAACAAGTAAATTGTTATAAATTACCAGTAAAGGTCTCATTTACATTTTTTTTACAAAAAAAGTGACTTTTCTAAGATCTTGTATTGTAACAGATACTACTTCTAATTTAACTTACCTGGGAGAGCAAAAAGGGATGGAAAGTCGCGGCAGTTAAAGATCCCTGTTGAATCACTTGCACAAGACATCCAGAGGTTCTCATAGATTGTGGAGGTTGTAATTACGCTGCCTTCTGTGGTGGATTCTTTCCAATACTGATCTTGTAGTGATATGAAAATCAATATCCATCCTGCAAAACCTTGGAAAAGTGCTATAACCTCGATGATCTCTTTCATCTTGAAAGTAATCGTCTATTAATAATTGGCAAAACTAACAGATAATACCTCTGTGAGGAGCTCTATTCCCAACTTCTGTATCTGATATACATTTTGGGAGTGTGAGAACTGAACTGATTTTTTTTTTTCCCTTCATGCACTCAAACCTGGACTAATTTGAACATTGATTTGTTGGCTGTAGCTACATTAGAAGTCTGCTATTCCCGCCCAAAATTCATGACATTTCACGTGCCCGGCATGTTACCATAGAAATGTAAGTATACAATGAGCTTTTTTTTTTTCCTCTTTTGATTGGCAGTGGAGTTCCAGATAGTCTATTGTAATATAGTTATCACAGCTTTGAATCCATGAGCCAAATGTCTGGAATCATTTGTCAGTGATTGCTGTGATGTGCCTTTGAAGCTTCTTCAGGAGGCAGTTAACATGACAATACATTGTCTTATCAGTGGTAGTGTTTTAAGAAGCATTGTAGTCATAATTGTAAAATATATCATAACTATATGATCAGGACAATCAGAGAAAAGTTGAATTGCGTGGTCTGTGAAGTGATATTCTTATTGTACTGCAGGTTTACTCTGTGGGCATCATTCTTCTGCTTTTTTTATTTGCTCACATCATCTTGTCCTCCTGCCTGTATTCCCTTTTGAGGAATTGGTAGCTTGTGATTTTAGGGAGGTCATTTAAGGTTCTATGAGCTAATGGGAAATACTGAATAGAGGGCAAAGCAAACAATGAAAGCTGGGTAAGGTGGGTGATTTATTGAAGGCAGAACGGGTCTATTTTAGTACTGGTTAAGCATTAACGAGTCTGCTGCGGGACAAAAGATGCGTTGAAATCCTTGCTCTTTGTAAGTGCATTATTTGTACTGTAGCATATAGATTTAACATGATGAAATGTTGTGTTGACATAGTACAGTGCTGTCACCTAGAAGACCAAACCAGGCTGCTCTAACACACCCTCATAATTAATTGGTTGCCTCTATACATTAAGCAACGTATGGAAGTAAGCAAAAATCCAAGATCTAGAAGTTCTGATGTACTTAAGTTCAGTCTTTACAAAACCCTTGCACAAACCTCCTCAAAACTCTGATGACGATGACTTTGAAAGTAAACACAGATGTTTACCGCTTGTCTAAGTGGAGCTACGCTTTGTTTACGAGTAACTTCAACATTTACAGTCAGTATCTTATGAAATGTGAATTCTCTTTTGCCGACCAGTAATCAGAAGCACAGTTCAAAGTACTGTCGTATACTTACAGTATTGAATAGACATCCAGCCTTTAAATCATAATCTTATGTCTGTTAATATTTTATTTACTTGACCTTCCCTCAGTCAGCTGAAAGATTTATGTAGTTGTGACCGCGTTGACCTCCCTGCTTAAAGGGAAAGTTCACTCAGGTTTGTCGGGCTCTGACTCTGGCTGTGCCCACAAGTCAGCACTGGTATTAAGGTCACACCAGGTACTTCACCGAGAACAAATACATGCATGACTTTATGCAGAACATGGTGGTAGCTAATATTTCAGTTTAAATTGCTAAACTGATTTTAAAATGAATCTTTCATCTTTATTCTTTGTCCGCTGTGAATTCCCTGGTTGTAAATAACTACTGTATTCTCACAGAGATGTTTGATCTTGGAAAAAGTTTAAAACTGTCCTATTTAACAGAAATATGTGATGTATTATTCTTATTCTTATTCTTATTATTAGCAGTAGTAGTAGCACTAGTAGTAGTAATCTTCCTTGAATAGCAAACGTGTCACTGTGGTTTGACTTAGTGTTGACAGGTGAACACTCAACAATTCCCATAGATACTTCCAAAAATAAAATAAAAAATGTTTACTTTTTCTTGCAGTTTTTTGCGTAAGCGCCAGAGACAGTGAATACATATTTTTTTTTCCCCAAGCACAGAAACATTCGTGCTGTGCTTCAACATTTAAAACCTTACATTTGTACTTAAATTACTATTCAGTTAAAAGCGTATATAGAAGAAGTGAGTTTAGCAGAAGCCGCTGTCGTTGACCAAGTAACCATGATATTGCACAAAATTATATTGATCAGGAAATGAAGCAAGCTCTTCAGCCTTCAAGATGACGTTGGAAATTTATAGAATTATTAAAACCAAACAAACTTGCATTTGTCCACTAAACTAAGTTTAAATTATGATTCATAATTGGGTTCATTAATTTGCTGTACGTAAAAGCTGTTTAAATAATGTGACAAAACTTTGAACAGTCAGTATTTGTGTGAAGTCACTGTTTCAATACCTGGTTTTATTGATTAATATGAACCCTCTGACTTTACTTATCCACTGACTTTTCCTCTTGTGCCAACAGGTTTACATTTGTTGTTTTTGTGTGTGTTCAAGAACAAATACTTGCAAAACTAATAACGTACCCATCAATCTCATACGTAGGCTACTTTGTGTTCAAACTAATGTGGTGACCGTGCTGAACATTGCATACCTGCATCAGCATGTTAGCATCCTAATGTAAACTTTTAGCTCAGAGCTGTGCATGGATGTCGACTCACAGTCTTGTTAAGCAACAATTTCTTTTCACAACTGTTTCGATAAGTAAAGTCTAAAGTCACAGTTAACAGTAAAGTGATGATTGATACATTTCACTGTACTATTTCGTCATAGAACACTATGTGCGGGCAGTAATTACAACACACTTCTTTGTGAAATTGTGTTAAAGTATAACCACTGTTTAGAGTATAGCTGACAATGGTATCTGATCAAATGTAATCCCACAGACACTTTTACTGCTGCTCCAAGCGTTAATTTAAGATTAACTTCTAGAGATAGACCTGAAATGCTCTGTGGTTTAATCATTTACCCCGACGGTAACCCAGGAGACAGACAATTCAAATAAACAAGTGTGGTGGTGATTTCAGTTATTGTTTGACCAAAATTGAAGCTTTGTTGTATTGTTATCTAAAATAAACTTAAACCACCCCATCACGTTTGTACAAACTGAACATGTCGTCTGATAAAGACGTCACTCTTGTTTGTTCAACAGAACACAAAGATTTTCAATGTGCCATATTACATTTGTATTAATATAAGGGTTTATAATAATATGATAATGAAGATAATGGTTCATATTAACAATATATAGTAGATCCTCAAAAATTCACATTTTTGTGTCATTTTCAAATGTAGAATCACTTTTTTAATTCACCAAACCTCCCGTCATTGCTATCTAGGTATTTATATAACTTAAGGTTTATAAGTAT